CGTAACTTCAAAACCTTACGACACGAAAACTCACTTTAACTCTCATTCCTTGGCATTTTGAAGAAATAAAATTGATTTCCTCAATTCACAATATTTTGGAAATATTTTAAACTGAATTCAAAAAAAAAAATAATTCACAATGTTTAATATATATAAATTTAAAAAAAAAAAATCATTTAAAATTACTCATTTTTTCCGTTATTTTACCATTTGAATTTTTAACTCTTCTCTCTTCATCCGGACACAAATTCCAATGCTGGATGTTCAAGCACCAGATGAAGGGCAACTTTTCAATCCCGGATCATCCTAATTCCAAAAAAGAGCAAGTGTGGCCAAACATAAAGGGCTTTCACACACACGGACGGACAGAATTTGCCGTTTTTATTTTAGATTATTCAGAAACGTCTTCTTTTATCATTTCATTCCAAGCAAGACGATAATGCCACTTGAATGCCGGAGGGTTACAGGTGGGGAAAAAAGAATGAGAAAATTTTAGTCGGGAGGATTAAGGAAAGGACAATAAAGAAACCGGGTTCAAGAAGACAGAAGATGGCGATTAACGTTGCATTTACATTTTTGAAGGTAAGCTTGATATATCTGGGAAGGATATTAGAATAATCCAGAACGTGTACTGGGAAATAAACCTCTGCATACCAAGGAACAATGAATTCAGTAAATATACCAAAATAAAAAGGAGTGTAAGACAAGGATATGTCTCCTGACTGGAATTATTCAAACTTTACAGTGAAGCGATACTGAGAGAATTAGAATTCATACCAGGAAATATTATTCACACTTCTAATGTTTTATTAGACGAAGAAAATCTAGGACAAAATGGGAGAAAAAATTCGTGTGAAATGTTTCGTCCTTTAGAACTTCATCGGGCTAAAGTGATGTTCGACTGCACATGCGCATGAAAGAGACAGGACGTTAAAATTTGGGATTTAAATTTAAACATTTTTAATAAGTTTTAGGCAAACCGATCTAGTATTTTTGGTAAGGAGAAAAAATAAAATAAAATTAAATTAAATTAAAAAAATGATTAGTAAATCAAATCTCTGAGTACAAGCGGGGACTTTAGAAATATTGAGTTGAAGAAAACTTTAAAAGGAACCGGAAACCCAATCCTAAACAGGGAACAAGGGATAAACCTCTATTCCTGTTCAGAAGATTGGGGAGAAGTGTCTGTTTCACAAAGCAACAGTTCTGGAAAAGAAGCTGTCTGGGTGAAACTTGCTACTTATCATAGAAACATGAATGGAATTTGGGATGTTTTTCCACTGATCATGGCAGGTTCTAGCTGTGAACATCTGAGCTAGTGGAATTAAGAAATATAGTTTGTTCAAGCATCTGCCATATTAATAACAATAGAGTATTGAGAGGCTAGCAATGTTTTGTCTGTGGGATAAGGGTCATGGGGTGGGAATAATTCATCACCCACAAGGCTGCATAAGTGTTTTTGAATTCTCTTGAGGCTGAACAGTGTTTATTATAATGATTCCAAATCATGGAACCTAGAGAAATGGTTTGAGTAAAACAATGAAGACAAAGGCAATGATTCAAATAAATAATGTTTATAATAATGATAATTCCTCATTGCAAAAATAGGTGAGAATAAAACAAGCGAAATGATGACATCATTTCAAATAATAATTTGCAGGAAATTTTGATGTTCTGACCTACAACTAATTGATTGGGGCAACGAAATTCATTAAAATGATTACTGGACAACACTCAAGGATTTCCAAATACAACATACACAAAGGGAAGGTTAACTAATACATCAGATGAAACAATGTAATAAAAAAAAACACAAGGACGCATAAGTGATTTTCTATTGAGGCTGGACAGTGTTTATTATAATAATTATAGCTCCAGCCTCGATATGGCAGCAAGATCCATTAAACAAGGCACGTAGAACTAGAACAGTCTACCCCAGTGAGCAAAATAAAGGGTTCAGTTCGACATTCCAGCCACCTGAAGATATCCGGAGCGTACAACGGTCGAAACGTTGTAATAAATATGGCGACAAAGATGAAGACAATAGTCCGAATAATGTAAATAAAAGCCCTCTTAACAAAAATACGTCAATGAAACCTGATCTACATACTGATTTTTTAAAAGTGCTACTAGGTTGGTATGTCGGTCCCACCCTTACACTGTCGAAACAGTTAAATGTAACCGCCTCTTCTACTCCAACAGCTTCTTCTCTTGCACTTCCAGACAGTGGAACTCCCTTCCTCTTAATTGCTTCCCTGATCTTCAGATATTCAAATGTAATGTCAATCGACATTTTCTGATGTCTTGATCCTGATCCCCTTCCTTCTCTTTATCCTTTCCTCAAACATCCCTCTTTACTCTTGCTCTCCCTCTCTGTAACCCCTTGCGTGCTAATGGCACTCTTGCCTTCTTGGAGTGAAATGCTTTAAAAAAAGGACAGACACTCCTCGATTAATACGTTTTCGATTAGTGCGCTAAAATTATTATATATCAATATTTGACTGGTGCATACATAATATTTGATTAGTGTCGTAAAACATTATTCAATTTAATTGAATAGTGATTTTTTTTATAGTTACTGATGTACAATTAACCGCCTTAATCGAGGGATCAA